AGTTTTATGGAGGGAATATTTTTTCAAAATATTTCGTAAATCATGAAACAGTTAGTTGATGTTGTGTGTGTCTGTGATAGCTTGATGTACTAGGTACAAAGTCGTATACCCCTAACTAGGGTGATCATCGTACGGTATGGTACGGTATATGGTTCGTAGCGATAGCGTATCAAATATTACGGTTCGGCATAAGATTTTATATCGTACCAATATTGATCCCAAAGTATCGGTTCGGTATGATTTGGGATGGTTCGGTTTCCGTTTTGGTAAATATTAGATTGAATATATATACCTACTTAGTTTACACTTTGAAACCTACAAAACTTTTAATTTTAAAAATTTAAAAGTACATTCAAATGAAGAATGATAAATAATTAAAAAATTAATAATTAAATGCTAGAAAAACTTAAATAAAGTAGTTTAATTTATACTTCGTATTTAACAAAAAAATGAACGAATAATAAAAAATAGTATTTTGATAATGTCTTTTAATTTTTAATATTCATCTAGAAAAAATTAAAATTCAAATAAATGATGTTTAATTAGATAAAAGATTATTTGTAATTCATTTATACTTGAACTAACTTTTCAAATTAAATTATTTTTTAATGAAGAATTATAAAAACATTGTTATTTTTATAACATATTTGTATACATGTTTGGAAGGAGGGATGTTGATGCCCCTGTGCGGAGGTGCGAGAAGATCACGGTTATCGGGAGAAGTAGGGGAAGGGATAGACCTAGAAAGAATTGGAAGGAGGTGATTAGGCAGGATTTAGGACTTCTCACCCTGATTGAGGATATGGCCTTAGATAGGAACCTTTGGAGGACTAGGATTAGAGTAGCTGGTTAGGAGCTCGGTGCTGTAGAGGTTTTTGTAGTGTGTTGTGTTTGTTTGATATCTTCTACTTTTGCTTGCTGGACTTTCATTTCATTGTACTTGGTGCTTTATCTTGTTATATCCTGTTATATCTTGTTATCCTGTTATATTGTGTTCTCTACCATATTTTTTGTGCAGGTTGAGCCGGAGGTCTCTTGGAAACAGCCTCCCTACTTTCGAGTAAGGGCAAGTCTGCGTACACACACCCTCCCCAGACCCTACTGTAGTGGGATTCAACTGGGTTGTTGTTGTTGTTGTTGTTGTATTTGTATACATGTTTGGTTCTGAAATTTTCGGTCTGAGAAGTTATCCCGTACCGATCTCAAATACCTGACCGATTATTTAGTTTGGTATGATACGATTCTTTTTCAGAATTATACCAGTTGGGTAATCTTAATTTTTTTTATAAAATTTCGGTTTGAGTTCGATACTTGTTCAACCACTCATAGCAATTTTTTTTTAATGGGAGAGGACTTAGAGGAGGTAGCAATTGAATTTATTACGTAGAAAAGTATTAAAACTAGAAATAGAAATAAATGAGTGATGGAGGTAGAAAAACAAAAATGGTCTGTACTGAGAGTTTCAGAGTCCTCAGACGCCTCCACTCCATGATCGAAATGGTCTGAAGCTTTTTTTTCTTCTTCTTCGTCTTCAAAATCAAAATAGCTTTCGAAAACAACAATGGCAGTAGCCCTCTTCTCATCGGCTCCTCCATCTCACTTCGTTTCTCTAGCTCAGCCCAAACCCCATCTCTCACACAAGTCTCTTCTCTTCGCCGCCCCCCAGAAGCCTAAGAATCTTCTGCTCTTGACGGTTCCCCCCATAAGCGCCGCTTCTGCTGCCGATAATGGGTCTGGCGCAGCTCCTGTTTCGACGGAGGAGCTCAATGAGAAAGCTGTGAACTCCAATGGATCTGCGGCTGCTGCTGAAGAGGCCGAGTTGAGGGCGTTCCGGGATCCGAGATGGATCGGAGGGACTTGGGATTTGGGGAAGTTCCAGACTAATGGGAAGACCAATTGGGATGCTGTGATTGATGCCGGTGAGCCTCTTCGTCTTCGTCTCTTTACCTCTCTGCTCAATTTGTTTGTCCAATTTCTCATATTTCATGATTTCCCCTTTTGGATCTCAGATTTAGGTTATTTTTGGTGTATAATTTGTTTTATAAACTGGTATCCTGATTTTTGTTCTATTGTATCAGATTTGTGTTTGAATAATCTATATGGCCTCCCAATTCTGTTTGCAACATTTCCTTAAAATTTAGTGTCAATTTATGGTCTAGTCTTAGTCTCTCTTCACACTTTGATAGTGATACTTCAATATGTTGCAGAGGTTAGGAGAAGGAAATGGTTACAGGATAACCCAGAGCCATCAAGCAATGAAAGCTCTGTGGTTTTCGACACTTCTATCATTCCTTGGTGGGCATGGATGAAGAGGTTCCACCTTCCTGAAGCTGAAATCCTAAATGGTTTGATCATTTCCTTTTTTGTCTTGCGTCTAAGAATTTGAAAACATAACTATTCTCCCTATAATAATTATGATACAACTGATCTGAACTTCAGCAATTGTTTGCCACATTTCGATATGACGATATCTAAGATGTCATTTACAAACAAAAAAAAGTCTGTTTTAAAACTCTATTTGTAATTTATGTTAGGGTCCATTTGAGAACGGCCTTTGTGATCATCGTTCTCGTTGTGGATGTTTTTAATGGTGTATAACAGTTATGAAAATACTAAAGCTAAAGGCTACTGTTGGATATTCTTTTCAAAACACTAAAGACACATTTATCTCCTCCCCTTTTATGGGTGTGTGGTGAAGCCTAAACATGATTCGGATTTGATATCTCCCGATATCACAGCCCTCACAAATGAGAGTGTTTTGATGTCCCCCTTCCTCGCATGTCACTAACAACTGTCATTTCAGATATCTCTAAAAAGTTTCATTTCAAACTTGTATAATTTCTTCTAGATCTTAGAATTCATTTCATATCAACTCTCCAAACCTCATCAAACTTGCCCCAAAGATAATGCCACCAAACAGGCACATAAACTACAGGGGACCATTTTGTAATTTGATCTGACCTTATATAGGTGTAAATGTAACTAACCCAAATGTGATCATCTGTGATTTGACTGATGACTGAAGTCTGAAGTGGCGAAATCTTATGCAGGCCGGGCTGCAATGATTGGTTTCTTCATGGCCTACTTTGTCGATGCCTTGACTGGCGTTGGCCTCGTTGATCAAACAAACAATTTTCTCTGCAAAACCTTATTGTTTGTAGCTGTGGGAGGGGTTCTTCTTATCAGAAAGAATGAGGACATAGAGACAATCAAAAAGCTGGTGGAGGAGACAACTTTCTATGACAAGCAGTGGCAAGCAACTTGGCAAGATGAGACCCCTAAGAATTCTTGAGAACTCTTTATGCTTCTACTTTTGCTCTTTCTCAAGTTCTTGAAGTTTGTATTGTGGTTTCCCTCTATGTTAGAGAAGAGTCCAGCATAACATTTTACACTTTTTGAATTGGTAATTAATGGATATGTAAATTTCTTATATTTTTATCCCAATCACTTCTAAGTAGGGGTAAAGTTACATCCTTCTCAGATCCTACTATTTTGTGGGCATCTACTGATTTTCTTGTTCTTGTTGTGGATCCCCATTATTCATATTTCTATTTATCCCTCTAAACTTGACTGATTTTCAATGTTTACCCTTTTCACTAAAAACATGAATACAAGTGTCTTTCAAACAAAAAATATTGATTAACATGTTTTGATGATCGAAATGAGTGACACATCTCGTATAAAAAGTGCAACACAAGATTTGAGTTTACCAGGCAAGGAATTCAGTAAAGCTATCTCAGGTTCATATTTCATAGTTAGGGTCATTTTGGCATTGTAATTTGCAAAAGGGAGTTGTAGAGAGATTCTTGGTCAATTGCACCAAACCTTCATTTAACCAATTTTAGGAAAAATGTTGAATAGTAAAAGGTGTTAGGTAAAAGAAAAATGTTAAATAGTGAAAGGTTTTTGGTAAAATAATAATTTGACGATAGAGAAATATAGGAGTAATTAGAGTTTTATATTAAGAACATGTTCTCTTTAACATACTCTTAATACTCACTTCGTATTATTTATTTATATTGTAATCAGATCAAATCGTATCAAACCAGACCATATCATATTAGAAACAATTTAAAATATTACTACAATCAAATTTGATACTAGATCAGATCAAATTAGATTTTAATAAAACCAGGCTCTAAGACTACTCGTACTACCCTCATCCAATAAAATTACATATTGACTTTTTGATCAAATTATTATACACTTTGATCATTCATAAATAAGGAGTATAGTTTGAAATAAGCAAATGTTACGGAATATGAAAAAATTGACACTCCCTCCTCCATTCATAAATTTTTTCTCAATTTGACTTTTTACGATCTTCAGTAAAATAAGTTAACCATTAATATCTCTATCTATATATAAACATATATAGATTCGTTGAACAGAATGAGTTGAACTATATTCAACGAATCTGTTGTTCAACTCATTCGAAGAAATTCCAGCTATGATTGACCTTTCGAATGAATGAAGCTAGAACCTAAGGGCTTTGGACGAGTGAAAGCCTTCTTTCTAAACCAAGTCATTTCAAAGTGCCTTGCCTGACTTCTCGCATAATATAATTGTATTATAAATGTATAAATTTCAAAATCATATTTTCAAAATAAATCTATTGATATTAAATTAAAATGTTAATTCAATAGTTTTTTCCTACATTTACAGTCAAAGTATAAAAAATTTGACTAAGAAAGTCAATTTGAGAAAGAAATTTATAATTGGAGAGAGTATATCATAACAATATCTTAAAAATAATCTAATTATATAAAATATATAGTATAGCTTAATATAGTATGAAAAATGCTAGAGTGACAAACAAATAATTCACAAACTTACTTTTTATGGATTTTAAATTAAAATATCTTTTATTATTTGAATGCATCTTATTTCTAGTAAAAAGTTAAAAAGGTAAGTTTGTAAATTTTATAAACTTTTTGTTTGTAACTCTAGCATTACTCGTATAGTATATCTTTTATATACAACGTAATTTATAATCAAAATTTATAAATTTGAACCAAACTAATCAAATAATGAAGAGTTTTATAGGAGGAAGGTGTATTATTAAAAGTAAGAAAAAAATAAGAGTGATAGTTTGCCTTGAAAATGATAAGCAGAAGACATCCAATAGGTTAATGGTGATAGATGATTCCAACTACAAGGAAATATTGACGCAAGAGTTCAGTATCATCAGCAGCAAGTGAAGAAGAAGAAGAAGAATCACAAAGATGCAATCTTTTCATCTCTTTCTTCTTCTTCTTCTCTCAATAACTCCAAGTAAGCGTTCCTTTAATCTAAAAGTTCACTGCTTTATATCCTTTATTGCGCCCATAAGTTATAATAATATGAATCTTGATTGGGTTCTTTCAGGTTTTCTAAACCCAGTAGATGCCCAAGAAGAGGGCTTTTGCACTGCACCATCTTTCCCGAATTCTGATTCCATCTCTAAACCACTGTACTGGGAAGTCACTAACCCTACACTCTCCCCTTCCCATCTCCGAGGTCTGTTCTCCCCTTGGTTTCAATTCAAGAATTTACTTTTCATTTTTCCCCTTCTCAATTAACATCCTGTTAGAGTATATAACAATCATTCCTGTGCCACAACCACAAGCTTGAGCTTTTGGTTGAGTTGGTTCCTTGACATGGTATCAGAGCCGTTATGACCAAGAGGTCACGAGTTCGAAACTCACCGCCACCCAGTTTAAAAAAAATTAAAGTTTCACGTGCAAGGCTCAAAGAGGTCACGCCTGCACGTGAGGGGGCGTGTTAGAGTATATAACAATCATTTCTGGGCCACAACCACAAGCTGTAAAAAGTAAAAAAATTATGTTAGGAATTATTGGGTGAATCATTTTCTACTATAGACTATAGAAGTGTTTGAAGTTGAGATATATGGCTGAAAAGTGATTGTGGGTATTTATATATACAGACTTGCCAGGTTTTACAAGGAGTGTGTATAAGAGAGACCATGCTTTGATCACTCCTGAAAGTCATGTGTTCAGCCCTTTACCGGATTGGTATGCCCGACCAAACAATTTGAATCTACTGTTGATTCTTTCTTTAGATAATTCTGATTGATTGATTGGTTACTTGAAAAAGATGAAATATTACCTCTGCAGGACAAACACCCTTGCAGCGTTCCTAATCACGCCCGAAATGGGATCACATTTTGCTATGTACTTGGCAAAGATGCAAGGTTTGGTTTGGCTGTTTACTTTTTTCCAGCTGAATTTGCACTTGTAATTGCTTGTTTTTGTTCAACTTGACGAAAAATGTTCAAAGTTGTTTAACCAGCGTCTTTCCCCGACTTCTTTCTTTTCTAGAAAATTCAATATCCGGGCTTCCTCCAGCTGGTGTTGAAAGGTGGGAAGGCTGTTATAATTATACTTTCGTGATTTTCTTTTTTCAGTAAAAAAACAAACTGCTTCAATTGTTCTCTGCTCTCACACACAATTTACTATTGCCAATCTGGTTGATATTTGTAAGGTCTGCTTACACACACCCTCGCCACGCTCTACTTTTTGTGGGATTTTAATGGGTTTGTTGTTGTTTTTCTTGTTGTAATCAGGTTTATATTTGTGGTTGATGGAAATGTAGTTATGAGTAATGCATCCGGAAAAAGCCACACTCTGAAGGTAACTATTTTCCAGACATCCACTATTTACCACTATTTACCATGCCCCAAAGAACATTGTGCTTTTGGTTCTGATTCTCATGGGAAAACATTAGTTTCACCGTGACGTGGGAGGGGGGGGTAGGGTAATATTGGAACCAGAATACAAACAATCATGTATAAACTGACTGACTGAAGTATAAAATGCAGATGGACTCTTATGCATATTTGCCTCCGGATGCCGAACACACTGTGAAGTCTGATGTATCTGCTACCCTTGTTGTATTCGAGAGAAGGTTTTCTTGAAGTCCTTGGCATTCACATTTTTTAATGCACTCTATATTCCATTAGTTCATTTGGTTAAAAAATAAATAAATTATTGCTACCCCATTTTTACTGCTGGCTCAAGTCTTGTTCTCCTTCAGATATTCCAAGATAGAAAATCATGCCAGCAGAGAGATTGTTGGCTCAACAGACCGTCAACCCCTCCTTGAAACCCCCGGCGAGGTAAAAAAATCAGTTTTTTTTCTCCAAACCGACCCTAAAACAATTCGTAATTTGTACAACAACAACAACCCAGTAGAATATCCCAGTCATCAAGTTAAAGACTTTGTTTTTATGGAGCACTTCATTCTTCTTGTTCATTACTTTTCAGGTCTTTGAACTGAGGAAGCTTCTTCCCACATCTTTAGATTACGATTTCAATATTCACGTGAGTATTGCTCGCTGGAATCATTACATTATCAATTCTACGATCTTTTAATCACGTTTTATCATTCATCTCCTCCATCTTTCAAGATCATGGATTTTCAACCTGGGGAGTTCCTGAATGTAAAGGTATGTGTATAGGCTTTCCTCATAGCACTCGAAAGCTGTTGGCATCTTCCACTGTTTTGAAAGGTCATTCTAATGCTAACTATAGGACTTCATTAGTGGCTTTTATTAGCATTTTGTTTTCTGGGGGGCAGGAGGTCCATTACAACCAGCATGGTTTGTTGCTTTTGGAGGGTCGCGGTATATATCGACTTGGTGATAACTGGTAAGAAGCAAAACAACATGAAACGAGCCCATTTTAGCTCACTTTTGGGCCGGGGCAAACCCAATCCATTTCACGTGGGCTTCATCCCCTTAACAATAGTGTGGGCTTCAAGTGCGTTCCGTTCGTTTGATTTTTTGAAGATATGGTCTGATCTAATCTTATTAAGAATAAGTAATAAGCTGAAAAAAATAAGTTGAACGGAACAGACGTTTCATCCCCTCTTAATTATACTTTGCTGATGACAGGTATCCTGTTGAGGCAGGGGATGCCATTTGGATGGCGCCATTTGTGCCTCAATGGTAAGTGCAGTGCTCCCTTCTTCGTGTAATAATTATCTCGTTTTTCTTGTATGTTTTAAAAAAACACACATTCCTTCGAAGGAATGTAGAGTTTTTTCTCTTTCTTTTGCATAAATCCCGACTACGTATTTTTTAATATTATTTTTAAACTTTATGAGTCAAAGTGAGACACTTTTTAGAGGAGTATATGTAGTGACATGTTTGTTCCATTCTTCAGGTATGCAGCTCTGGGTAAAACTCGCACGCGTTATTTGTTGTATAAAGATGTTAATAGGAACCCAATATTTTAGAAACACTCTATTTCCATGGGATTTTTATTGTTCGTGTTGGCCCGTATGGGAGAATAATGACCATTATCAAGTTATTGCTCTTTTTAAATGGTTCACATCAAATAAATATATTGCTTTAGAGCATCAGCAATGGCAAGAAAAGAAATGGAATGTTACATAGTTATGTGGAACATTTTAACCCATCAAATAGAGTTGAGTCTACGTGTAGATAGTAAGTAGAGTGACATGTCATGTAGTAACAAGTCATTTTTTTGTCACTTTTTATATATTTTTTGACATATTTTAATAATTAAAAATTATTTTAATTGTCTTTTTTTTTAAAAATACTCCGTACTAGTTTGGAAGGCATGGTGAAACAAACAAGCCACACATGTCAATTTTAGTTTGCGGCTTACTGTGTATGTGGCAAGGGATGGCAGGCATTTGCCTTGCCATAAACTCAAAAACTTGATTCCAAAACAAAGGAGCCTCACTTGCCATATAACCCATACAAGTTAATGACATTTCTATTAAAGAATCAACTCAAACAAAAGCAAATTGTACTTGTGACCTTGACGTGCAGATGAAACTTATTTTTTTACTCAAGTCTTGCATAGTTGCACGTGAGTAATAATTTTGTTAAATTATGTGATGGTGAGTTTCAAACTCGTGACTTCTTAGCTAGCAAAGCTCTGATATCACATCAAAAAAATCGATTTAACCAAAACCTCAAGCTTGTGGTTATAGCTCCAAAAAAAGTTTTTTTTTATAATCTAACAAATTACGACAAGATAATCCTCATTCCTCAAGGCTCAATTCTCAAGATGAAATACACTTGCAAGAATGTAAAAGATAACTCCATACTTATTTCACATTGATCAAATTCAAAGAAACCTCCCATAATGTTAACTCAACTTCAAATCATTATGCTCAGAAGCTGCAGTTTACAATGAATGAGCTTCAGGAATCAAGACCACCTTTTATACTATGATACATATGGACTCTCATAGCTACAACACAAAAGCTATACATAAATATATATAGCCCAAATCATATCTCATACCTCGTATCATACACTCGCTCCGTTCTTTTATCAACTGACCCGTATAACTTTCTTGATACATGAAAAATGAATGAATGTAGACATGATGTATGTCCATATTTGTTCCAGTTTTGATGTATCTGTGAATAGAGGAGGGGCAAGTTACTAAAAAAATTACCAACAGAGATGCAGCATTTCCAAGAATGGGCTGTGTATATGATCTATGATTCTCCTTGAGAGGCAAATGTCTTGGCTTTTTTATTGTTCTTCTTCTTCATCTCGCTCAACACCTTGCCGAAAACACCCACAATGTGCTTCTGGGATTCAAGAATAATCTCGCTGTGCTTCATCTCCCTCTCCATTCTCATCTGCTCAATCTCCTTCGCCATCTCCATCTTCATCTTCTCAATCTTGATGAACCCTTCTGCCAAGAACCTGATGGACGAAGCGATCTGGTCCACTGAATCGCTTGATTCCCTCTCCCTCTTCAGCCCCCCACCACTCCCGCCGGAGCTCTTGTCCCCTGACCTGGGAAAACCAGACACAGCCCTGTCAAGATTTGAGCCTTCCATGAAGTTTCCCCTCATATGACTTGAATTTCTTTGTTCCAACACCCTCATTAGATATTCTTCGCTCGGATCATTTCTTTCATCGTACTCTGTGAAATTTGGATTGGGTCCTCTGTTGAATCCATTCTTCAGCTCCCCACTTCTCTTTGGGTGGAATCCAATAGCCAGTGGGATCGACTCGACTCGGGTTCTAATGGGGAAGGCATTTTCTAAAGGGAGCGCTTCTACTTGCTGTTTCTTGCTGCTTGCGACGTCGAAATAGGACAAGTAACCATTTGGGACTGGAGGCCCAAAATTAGGGTTTGAATCATCTGCTGGTTTTGTGAGTTTTCTGGAATTGTTAGGCTTTGATTTCAGCAAGCCCTGATCAATTAGGGTTTTGAAACCAAAGGAATTGTTACCTGGATTGGTCTGTTCATCCGGATCCGGATTGGATCTAGCAGCAGAGACCTGAGTCCCGTTCTCCATGGCGTCCATGTTCTCGAAGAAGAACCAGTTGGAGAAGAAGCATCCGGCTGGAAAGGAGAGGGACCGCTGCTTCTCGGCGCGGTAGCGCTGGCGGAGCTTCTCCATCTTGTGGCGGCACTGAGCGGACGTCTTGGCAGGAGACGCATCGGGGCAGCGGCTGAACACCGCCTCAGCCACCGCGTCCCAGTCCGCCGTCCGGAGGTACCCACGGCGGAGCGCGTACCACCTCTCGCGGTACGCCTCGATCAAGGCCAAGGTCTCCTCCTGCGTCCAGCACGGCGCCGGGAATCTCCTCGCGGGCTTCTCCTCCACAACCGCCAGCACGTCCACGGCGGATTCCGGCGCAGCGTCCGCGGTCGACGACATCAATCAAGGCGGTACCAACTAAAACAACGAACCCAACAGAATCCAGATCACCCCCGTCTGGGTCCTAAATTCATTCCAGCGGCGGCGAGGAAGAATCAAGAATAACAGGGAATGCCGACGCCGGAAAAGGCATAATACGCGCCGGAGTCAAAGAATAAGCGGGTTGAAGATGAACCCGGGAATCTAATCAGCCCTCTCTCTCCACTGCGTCGCGGCAGAGCAATGGCGGGGGGTTATAAGATAAGGAGGTGGTGGAGGAGTAGGTTATAGGGTGGTGGGGTGGGGGAGCGGTGGTGGTGGGCTAGTGTAGACAGCAGCGGGGCGCCATCACTGTTGTTGGTGGGTGTAGAAGAGATGGTTAGTGGTTGACTCTAACCACCACCGCCCCCCCGCCCGCCCATCATCATCCATCGCTAGTGGGATCCCCCACGCTTATCTCGCCCCCCTCCCCTCCCAAACTCTTCTCTCTTTCCCACTTGAAAGCTAGGAAAATGATAAGGACACATTTGGTACATTGAATTCAAACTATGGAATTGTTTGGTAGCATAAAAATTATGTGAATTTGGAATTGATAGTGCAAAAAATAAATTGGAATTGACAGAATACAATTCTGTGGGATTGAATTCCATGGAATCTCAATTCCAATTCTGTCAATTCCGTATACCAAACGGACCCTAAGTAATTGCTACCATTAGCATTTTGGGAGGGGAGGGGGCGAGATTAACCACAATACAAATAGAGGGAAACCACAATACAAATACAAAGTATTGGACCTTTACGAGTACCTAGTACATGCTTTACTCTCTGCCGTCAATCTGTAATCAAAGTCTTATTTATTTCTTTTCGGTAAACACAAATTACACAATCGACATATCCTTTACAAAAATGATCCCTATGATTTTGATTCTTTTTGGATGAGAGTATAGTCTCTTGTCACTTAGTTGGTGGGTGGGTGGATGCTGACAAAGGGTGGCCGGACGGAATATGATGGGCAGCGCAACACCACCCCCACCTACTCCATCAAATCACCACCATACATTATTACATTCATTTAAAAAAATGAACCTATCCCTAAATTTTACACCCTAAATGTTTACCATATTTCGAACAACATCTAAAATATCATAATTTTTTAAAATTATTTTATATATAAATTGATAGAGAAATACTGAGTAAAAAGTATAAATTATATTATTCAAAAGTACATTAAACATTCTATAAAATAAGATGCGCTAAAAATGTATTATTTCACTAATTGATCACCAAAAATGAGTAAAAAACAAACATTATCGAGAGACCAATATAGTAACCATGACAATCTTTTCTAACATGGAAGTAGTACTACCTATCAATTTTTCTTCCGTCTAGAAAAAAACATCACGATTTATTTTTTAAAAATAAACCTACTTCCTATAGAACAAGAAGCGAGATGAATATATTATTTTATCAGAATATCAATAAAAGTATACAATCAAATACTACGTATCTGCCAAATATTTCAGTTGGTCAAATAAGCTAAACTTGATAAAAATAATTTAAAATTATCCAAAATCCAATGTCCAAACCTCTGTTAGCTTATTCGCGTATAATACGCGTATTATACACTCGTACGTATGATACACGTATTATACTCCCGAATCCGAATTTTTAATGGGACGAACGTATAATACGCGTATTTTTGACCCCAAACGTATTTACGAATTTTATATGTATTATATTGCAAAATCATTGGGGTAAAATTTAGATGAGATCAAATAAATTGATTGTCTTTCTGCAAAATTACAAATCTATAAAATTTGGTGATTCAATTAATATAAAAGTATTAAAAATCAGATTGTAGTTCAAGTCATCCATCAATATCTTTTGTTAATAAAATGTCACCCATTGTCACCCACACTCTACCAGTCTCTTCGACTTCGTCCGGCTGAAAGTTCAACATTGCATCTGCACTAGCGAATAGTAGAGAACAACATTTTCTCTATTTGTTTAGATTTTGAAAACGTGATCAATTTTTTGTATTTAGTTCTTAAGATTAAATATTTTTCCACATTTAAAAATACAAATTTGATTTTATTTGTATAATCTAAATTCAAAAAATCTAAGTTCGTACCTAAATTTTTGTATTCTAAAAATAAAAAANTTGTGTAACACAATATTTAGTAAGTTCATATTTAAATTATAAAGAGACTTAAATCTTCCTTTTAAATTCACGATAAACATTTAATCAATTTTGTAAAACATAAATTGTCTAATAATATAAATTTTGTCATGTCTTAAATGCTTTATTCATATCTAAATGTTGGCTTCATTTTTCAGAATGTGTTCTTACTTTGAATACATTTTGTGGAAGTACAGAATAATAATTAGATTAAAAGATCTCCTTTGGGTACACATGGAAAAATGGATAAAAAATACTCCTTCCGTCCCTAAATAAACTTCCTCTTTCGTTTTTTCTTTGTCCCTAAATAAACTTCTCTTTTCCCTTAAAAAACCCCTTTTACCCCTTACTTTTTTACTAATAATCTACATATCATATCTTACTATTATAAATCACATCAAGGGTATTTTTAGAAAGTCAACACCAAAATATCCCTCCCTTAAATCCTCAAAAAGTCAAAAACGGAAGTTTATTTAGGGACGGAGGGAGTAAATCATAGTGCTAGTTAAATTTTTAGAACTTTATGATGTATTTGTATTCAATTTCAAAGTTTAAAATGTGTTTCTTATTAAAAATATATGCATTCATAATAAGCCGTATTTTTGAAAAACCAAACGTATAATACGCGAACGTATCCGTATACGTACTCCGAACGTATAAAATGTATAATAAGACGTATTTTAAAAAATTGATCCGTATTATACACGAACGTACGAATAGACGTATTATACTCGTATCCGAATAAGCTAACAGAGGTCCAAACATGTCCATTAAGGGTTGGTGACTTGATGATAACATAAACGACGCCGTATGATTGAGTGATTACGAAAAGCTCAAGAACTTTAGAAGATGCAACAAAGAGATGGTAGAGCAGAGAACGATGGCGGAAACCGTGAGCGGCGGAACGATGGAGACGATCTCCGATCGGCTGTCGCGGCTCGAGAACCTATACTTCCCCCTCGCCGTCAAGTCGTCGACCGCCACTTCATCCTGCCGGAAGTCCCTCCTCCTCGACCTTCTCTCTCGTGACGCCCCTCTATTCTTAGGTATTACTGCTCTACTATTTTCCTCAGACTAATTTCTCATCCAGATCACCAGATCTGTTCACTTTTCATCTGTGCTTTTTGGCTGTTTTTTATAGTTTTGAATTCTAATTGTATGAAAATTGTGCCACAAAATAGAATCCTAGTGATTATATTAGGAACAATTGAATGAATATATGCGCAAAAAGTTGTCTTACTGGCCTTGAATCATATCAGAGCGCTATGGATCACTTTTGACAAAGGAGGAGCTTAGAGAATTTGAGGTGTTAAAGGACGATTATGAAATTAATTGGCATTTAAAACATCTACGTAGTTTGATTAGCCCGACTGAAGCAGAACTGAAGTCTAGATCAGCAAAGGTCAAGAACCGGAGGAGGGCATATATGGACAAGTTGGTTAGTGGAGGGCAGTACTTCTCGGAGGATGCAATGAGGGAAAGGGAGCCGTATTTGCACCATGAGTATATTGGGAAATTTCAGGACCCCGTTGGGAGGAGAATGGCAAGGCCCGGGGAGAGATGGTCGGAGACACTTATGAGGCTGTCAGAGGAGGCAGTGTTGGTGGAGAAAATCAAGAATGAGCAGCAGAAACGGGGCGTGGCTCAAAGTGATTGGATAGGGTTTGGGAGGGATGCTCATGAAGAGGAGGTTAAAGATGAAGCCGAGGAAGAAGAAGAAGAAGAAGATGATGATGATGATGATGATGATGATGACGATGAAGAAGAAGATGATGACGATGGTGATGAAGAGAAGGGTTCAGGAGAAGAAGACGAAAAGGACAAAAAGAACACTATGGCAGATGGACTAGAGGTAATAACAACATTTTAAGTTTCCTTGGACTAAACCTACCTACATTTGGATGTGTTTGCATTTACTTTTCCTAGATATACATTTGGTAGCATTGTGGTTCCGTACTTGGAGCATAAAGCCTAACATGTTGTGTTCATTCTTCCATGTTGGGTAGCTTTTCATTGGCCTTGAACATGCATTTTGTGCTTTTCAACCAAACAAAACCCTTGAATAGTTCAATGACCAAGAAGCATGTAGACACTTCTTTCAACTTTTTTCTGCTAATATTTTTTCTTCTTCTTACATGCATGCCTATAAGTGCATGAACATAAATTCTCAATTGTTGAAGAAAGTCAATTATTTTAAAGGCACAATTACCTATGGACTATGGTGCTTTCAACTTTTTTATACTAATCTTTTTTCTTCTTCTTACATGCATGCCTATAAGTGCATGAACATAAATCTTCAATTGTTGAAGAAAATCAAGATTTTAAGGGCACACTTAGTATGGTGTAATTATGGATATTCTATTAATCTATTGTCTACGTTATTTTAGGGTACAATCACTTCATGGAGTTCATGCCCATTTGATGATGAAAATCAAACATTTAGTCCCTGGTTGTTTGATACTCTGTGTTATCTATCTAATACTCCCTCTTTGCCAAAATACATTTCACACTTCCCTTTTCTGGTTGTATCAAAAATAATTTCACACTTCTCCTTTTTCTTATTTCACATCCTGTTTATGAATGGAAGACATGGTTCACAATCCTTCTCCTTTCTGGCTTTCTATAATTTTATTCAAATCACCCATCTTTACCTTTCAACACTTCTCTTAAACTCCGTTTTGTCAAACACTTAAGTTTATTTTGGGATTGAGGGAGTATGTGGCATTTCAAAATTTGTGAATTTAGTCTCTCAATTGTAATAATAATTAAGACTTTGAGATTAAATTAATCCCTCATGTTAAAATCATTGTTTAGAATGTTAGGGCTTATGGGGATCGTTCTCGGCATTCTATATTGCTGGGAATGCCCTCAATAGTAAATGGTGAACTAGGTGTATCCCATGTACAATATCATTTGAGACATTGCATTTACAAAATATGTATGCCTCAAATTACATAACGTCAAACAAATGGATTAAAGGTTTGATTTTCCCTATTTGGTAATTTGATGCAACCACTCAGCAGTTCTTCCCATTCTTTCGGTTCAAATCAGAATTCCAGAGGCATATTTGTTCTTACTAGTTTTGATTATTCTTTGTAAATCTCCAGATACACTCAGGCGGTCATGATAGCAGCAGCAACCTCCCGCCTGCTACCATGAAACCTACGGAGGTAGATATCTTGTCCGCTGAGGATATGCAAGATCGAATGGACCAGTTTACAAACATCATGCAACACAAATTTTTACTAGGGGTGGATAACTGGGATTACTCGAAAATTGACGAGGACGAAAGCTTGGATGATCATTGGCTCAAAGAAGCCAATTATGATGCCGAAGAGAAGTACTTTGATGACATCTGAAAGACCGGTAAGGTTTTTACTTCAGCAACTATGCAGTTATTTAACTGTTTTTGTGTCTTGCACTCTCAAGTATCAACAACGTAGTACTTGATTTCTTGGCAGCTCTTCATTTTGATTTCGTCATGATCATTGTGTGCATTGTAAATGTAATAGTTGGAATCAGGTCAAGTACTTTTGTCTGCTTTTTGCTTTGAATTCATCTTTTTGTGAGTTTGACCACCCCCACCCCAGTAGTATATGAGTGCTTATACTTCAAGCTGTGATGGTAATGGGATGTTGAATTGAAGCATTGGAAACCAATTTAACAGAGTCTTCAATGTAGTTCACTTCACTTAGTTGATTAGGTGTTAGTTACTTGTAAGACCAGTTTCCACTCGGTACCCAACAACCCATTTGAATTTACAAAAGTAGGGTCTAGGGAGAGTGTTTGTGCGTAGACCTTACCCCTACTCAAAAATTTAGAGATTGTTTCCAAAGAGATCTCTGGTTCAAGCACCACAGGTTATTGTGTATGCAACCCAATCCCCATGTTTAAAATATAGAGCGACTGTTTCATTGGATTACCCATGATGATGAGTGTTGAAAGTTGCATTGATTGACTACTGCTTCACTATTAAAAGAAGCACAAGTAGTTTATAAAACAATGAATCATTGGCTTCACCCAATCCCCCCAACACAAAAAATTATTATTGAGATAAATCATCATTACTTTGCATTTGATTGATATTAATTATTTGGAATTATGACATAACGATACGATCGAATACTAGGACGTCTCAAAATGAAATTGTGTGATCGAAGTCTATGTGAGAGAAATAATGCGAACTACACAATTTTTCTTTAAAAGAAAATAAGAGTTTATCTTGGATCACACGAAATAAGAAATAGGAAATTTAGGTTTTTTTTTTAATGGACGGGTTCTTGAAAAAAAAAAACTATTTGGGTAAAGGACAACCCCATGCCATTGGGGAGGTGCTTTTCTTTTCAAAGTTGCAATAAGGGCAGTGTCCAATCCCACCACGGCCCTTGTCACATTTTTGCACCTTTCACTCTACCCCGTCCCCATTTTAGGTCCCTTTTGACATTGTGGACTTGTGGTCTTGGTCACTGTTGGTATCATCATGTTTTAGATTACTTGATTATTTTAGGAAAAAAATACGGAGTAAATAAATAGGGAGTACATCTTTACAAATGTCCCCCCCCGCCCATCATATTTTTGATTTTTCTTGGTCAAAGTTTGTAAATTTTGACTCTAATTTATAGAAAAAATATATTATATTAAAGAAAAGTGTATTCCGGGATATCCTTTATTTTCTGGTAAGAAGTCTCAGATCTCACATTATTTGAAACAAACTCCGAGTCCTTAAAATTAGTGGTAATGTATTTTGAGGATACAGTTTGTCTAATTGGTCGTTAGGATTAAAAGCTGATACTTTGATAAATACTAAATTTTACATCAATAATTATCATTTTATTTAATTTAAATAAAATCCTTCATTTTGTCAAAATAAATGGACTTTCAGTCCTAATTTCTATATAGACAAATGTATCCTTGAAATATAATATAATACACTTTAAGGACCCCCGAAGTATATTTTTGATAATGTGAGACCTGAGAGTTTTACCAGAAAATTTAAAGTACCCGATGTTATATTTTAGATAATGTGAGACCTAAGAGTTATTACTAGAATATTGAGGATACCCAGAGTAATGTTATGCGAAGAAAAGGAATGAATGACAAGCATTAAAGAAATTTTTGAGATTTCTTGAGTTGGTAATAACTAAACAAAAGTTTGGTCGCATGAATCATGATTGAGAAATTTTTTCAATGTATTGTTTGTAATTGAGAAGCTTTTTGAGAGATAAGAAGTTTTTTTTAGTGTGAACCATGAGGTTCCAGATCTTTCTTCGTTCGTCGATCTTGGCCCAAGGGGAATTGTCACCTATGACAATTGAATCTGGGTTCTTCTCCCCACATGAAAGTTCTTTTGCCACTTGAGCTACCTAGTATTATAATATTTCTTGTATAAAAAACTACTCCGTGTTACTTAGGCTTCGCGCCTTCGTCTGACATTAGCTTCGTCTGACAACGGTAGACTTTAGAGTTAGCGCTTTCAGAATTAATCCACGCCATTACAACTTTATCTAAAACGCTAACACTAATCGAAACCGCGGTATTAATTTGGAGGTGAAAGGTGGATTAAAACAGGGAAAGGGGGACAATAGATCCCACCCGGAGCAGTCTATATATCTATATTTCATTAGGCATTGAGGAATGGGCAGCCAAAGACAATGTTTTATACTTTTATTGGCAATGCGATTTAACCCAACCAACAGAATTGTCACAACATTACCTATGCTGTAAAAGTCATCCCAATGCTTTGGTCGGACCATTTTAATGCGAAGCAAATAAGGTTTCTAGAAACGTGTGTAAGCTTTCACATTTTTGGAACCACAACATTTTCAAACCAAGAATGGGTGGTTTCCTCAAAATTTAGTTATGGCCAACACTAGGCATACTGTTTTGACCCAACAATGTGCTCCCTCCATCTAAAAGGTTTTTCCATTTGTAAAGATAAATACTGAAACTATTGTCAAATGGATTTGTATAGTTCAATTAAAGTTGAAATTATTGTGTACTTCTACAAAGTAGTGTAACACGAATCTTCTTTTTTTACAGAAAACTTTGAGTGGCTCCTTACAAACACACATTTTCACTTTATTTTTTAAATTTTATGCCAAGTTAAATTGTGAGCCTTTTTTTTGGATAGAGAAAGTATAAAGAAGAATAAATTACTCCTTTCGTCTCAAAAAGATCTTTAGGATTTTATTTTTTTTGGTTATATTGCTTTACACATTGATCATAAATTGTGAAGAATTATGTGTTCATTTTACAATATAGTTTCATAAATTTGTGTTCATTGTACAATATAGTTTCGATATATTAATTTTTTACATCACTTATTTATTATATGTAATTTATGCCCAAAAAATTGCTCAATTAGACAAAAAAGTTCAATTCTGATATCACAATTACTCTTTACCCAATTAATTTAATATATTTTACCTAATTTTATTAAGAGTATTTTATTGAACTTCCACTTTATTATAATTTTCCTTAAAAACTACAAAAATTCAATTTAGAGAGATCTCAAAAGTCGCTTCAAAAAATGATAAGAAGAATAATTTGCTTTGTCAATTATTGAACAATAAAAAAATACGCATACAAGATTATCACAACTCACAAGTTCAAAATTCTCTATAGCAATTAGACTTTTTTTTTTGGACTGAGAGGGAGTTACTAATTTCACAAGGAAAGAAGTATTCGGTATTAATTTGTTGGGTAATTAAAAAGATTAGGTGTCTCTTTAAATGATTTGTATCCATCCATTCAAAAAAAAAAAGATTGGCCCCATCCTTCGGGCTCTTAAAATCACTCGGATAGTTCCTTGAAAAGTAATAAATTGAGTATATTCAGAAACCATGGTTATATACTTGGTACTTGCAAAATCATATGTTTATCATAATTATATCTCAATGCAATTATTAGAAATCGAGTTCTTTTTACCTCCTTGTCCCTTCTTTAATTTTTTTTGTTCAACCGACCGAACTATACCCGACCAATTCAGATGGTTTATATCAATTCATTTTCCATACATACTCCTTCCAAAATATTTCATCTTTTATTTTTTTCTCTCCCACCAAAATACTTTCACTTTCTATTAAAAAAATAACTTTTACCTTTACTTTATCTTATCTTATATGTCACATTTTACTTTTTCTCATCACATCAAGAGAAAAAATTAGAAGTCAACTAAAACAATTTTCTTACCTTAACTTAGTAAAAATAAGAAGTGTTTTCAAGAACGGAGAGAATACTTTTTTGTGGAATAAAAAATAACATCATTTTAAGTATGTCTCAAAAAAAAAAAAAGAAATTTGGATGGAATTAAAGAGGTGGGAAGTGGAGAACCGATATGCAAATACAGACTATTCCTGGGGCCTAGAAGAAAAAACCCCATTTTTCAATTTTTTCAACGCTGCTGAAAATGAAAAAAATACAGTTGCCCTACCCTAACCCCCCGCCATGGATTTCTGTCCTTCTCGTAGACCGCAGAAATGGAACCAGTCTCCTTTGAGCGAGCGTCACTATAAACTCTCCGCAGCAGTTGGCTGACGAAGGCCGCGTTTGGCAGATTCCGATCTCCAGATTCGATTTTTCAGGTTCTCTGAACAGAACCAGCCTCGTTCCCTTCCACTATTGCCTCTTCTGTTTGTTAGATTGTAGATGCATCTGAAGAAAGTCGGAGAAATTGTCGTCGTTTCGCCGGATAACGTCCCCCATCGCCACCCGCCGCAGTCGCAGATTCTCGACACCACTGAGTTAACTCGCCCCAAACCCGATCTGGAAACCCATCAGATTCAAACGGAGAAGAATGAGACCCTATTCTCTTACACTCCCCACAAAAGGCCTCTGATGCCCCAAAGCTCTTCTCTTTCTCGCTCCCCAACTCAATCATCTCTCCATCACAACAAGAACAACAACAACAATAATAATCCTTTCAGAGTTTCGTCGAGCCCGTCTTTCCTCTGCTCTTGCTCACTCCCACTGCTTTTAGCTACTAAGAGAATCACTCTGAGGCTCCTCCACCATTCGTGCCGAGCGTCATGGATTAGAGTCCACATGAAGCTGTTTATACTGCTTTCTTTGCCCACTTTTTATCTGCTGACCACATCTTATTACCGCAATTTCTTCTTTTTCATTGTCTGTATCGTATCCGTTTTACTCCTCTTGGTTGCACTCAGCTTAGCCCTCCCATGGCTTCCTGCTATTCGCCAATTCGTGGCAAGAGTTAAGCCTAACACAACAAGGGATCACACCCCTGTTGTTTGGTCAATTGGGTCAAAACAGAAGTTGGAAAGAAGGCCGGATTCCGGCTGTTGGGTTCAGGAGTATAGCAATGGGGATGTGTATGAGGGAGAATTCCACAAGGGGAAGTGTTCTGGTAGTGGGGTTTATTACTATCACCTGACCGGACGTTATGAAGGGGATTGGGTGGATGGGAAGTATGATGGGTATGGAGTCGAGACATGGGCAAAGGGGAGCCGATATCGGGGACAGTATAGGCAGGGTTTGAGGCATGGAGTTGGACTCTATAGGTCTTACACTGGAGATGTGTACGCTGGCGAGTGGTGTAACGGGCAGTGTCATGGGCAGGGCGTTCATACTTGCGAGGATGGGAGTAGTTATGTTGGGGAATTCAAGTGGGGTGTCAAACATGGCCTTGGCACTTACCAGTTCAGGTATTTCATTTATTGCCTGAATGTTACATTAGTTCCTTGTGGGATCCTCCCCATACTCTACTTTTTGTGGGATTCTAATGGGTTCGTTGTTGTTTTTGTTGTTGTTGCATCTTTACATTAGATTTTAGCTTGTTGGTTTGATTCACTAGAATGGTTTTTGTTGGATTATATAAATATAGCAATTGTGGCTTATCCGAGAGTTGTTTTAGCACCAATGTAAGAGATGATCTCTTAACTATTTTTTGTATATGGTATATAGTTTTGGTTATTATTCTTTTGCATTTGTCAACCAAGCAAGCATTTCTAGTTCCCTTTCTCTCTTAATAATTTAAAGTAGATGTTTTAAACAGCTACACTCTTACTGTATTTAGTAACTGCTTTGTGTTTATTGACACAATGGTATAGTTTTGAAAGACTCACGAAATGCAATGTAATCAACTGCATGTGTAATTTAAATTTGTGCAAGAAATATGCTCTTTTCCACCCTCCAAAAGAGAGTCATATATGCACTACTCATTTAAGCGTTACAAATGAAGCTCTATTCTTTTGGGACAGAGTTAGTACTCTATTTGTTTTACTTGCATTTGATGCTATGTTGTACCACCAAAGTACACCTAAGAGCTCATTCTTCAGTTAAGATTGTGGAAAAAAAAATATTTGCACTTCTGTGTGATAACCAGTTATCATTTTCAATTTAAGCAGCCATCTTTATTCTATGTTTGGAAAGGGTAAAATTGGTAGGGAAAAGAAAACGTGTTAAATGGCAATTGTTTCTGAAAAATTTTCAATAGACCCTGCTATAATGTATATGCTCGATCCAGCTTCTAGAAGAACTATTCAATCCATTGTTTCTTGTTTTTTCAGGAATGGAGATACATATGCCGGAGAATATTTTGCAGACAAGATGCATGGTTTTGGGGTGTACAGATTTGGAAATGGACATCGATATGAGGGAGCCTGGCATGAGGGAAGGAGGCAAGGTTTTGGCACATATACTTTCAGAAATGGGGAAACTCAGTCAGGTCACTGGCAAAATGGGGTTCTTGGTGTCTCAAGCGGTGTCCTTGGTGGACCTTCGTCAGATTACCGTTCCAAGGTGTTGCACGCTGTTCAGGTAATCGAACAACCTTTTTTCAGACACTAACTTTTTCAAGTTCTAAAAAGAATCTAGGTGTCGGGACGTCCCCAAGTAACCAAATTGGGGGTGTTTCTAGAACAAGAAGCGGCATTTGTTTGAAGAATTTGTGAAACACCGGCACTTTACAATTGCAGATTTATCTTGGTTAAATGAATTCTAATGAGGTTTGTGATCCGCATTTCTTTCTCATAGGAAGCTATCCGAGCTGCCGAGAAAGCCAACAACGTGGCTAAGGTGGAAGAGAGAGTGAAAAGAGCGGTAGCAACTGCCAATAAAGCGGCAACTGCAGCAAGAGTGACAGCTGTGAAGGCAGTACAAAACCAGATGATGCATCAGGACAGCAGAACCCATCTGAATGTGCAATTATCAAAATACCCTTGAATCTTTTTTATTCATTCTAAAAGGTATCATTCTTGTTCTCACCTCCACCACAAGAGTGAATGCGAGGAGGGGTCCGCTTGGAACCGCATCAAGCACTCGTTGATTGAGGAGCAAGTCGGATTCTTTCACTTAAAATATGTAAATACCGCTCGTTCGTTGCAAGTTCTGTAAGAAAGAGTTAAGCGCACTAAAGCGCGTGTGTTTGATGCAAAGAGGAGATGAGTGTGGTTCCAGATTGCCATAGGAAAAATGGGCAAATTTGGGTAGGAGTTTGTGTAGCATAGTTGAGTCAAGGTTTGTATAATAACTGTGTGTATGGTTTTTCTTTGTTATTATTGGAATGAAATGTGCCTTCCTCGTCTAACACAACACATTTGCGCAAGCATAGTAAAGAGTAAATAGTTGAGTCAATTTTGACTTTTTTCAGTCACATATTTTTAATCTTTGATCTATAATTAAATAAAATATATATTGTATATATTAATTAGAAAAAAATGATAATTTAAAAATAATTTTTATAATAAATCTAATGAAAATATTTTTATATCAATATCTAATATCATTTTTATTTAATTTGAGGTCAAAGTTTATCTATTTTGACAAAAAAAAGTTAAAAGTAGACAAATATTCCGGGATTAAAAGAGTAGAACATAAGTTTAAGATTAAATTTAAAACTAAAGAAGAACCATTTGATTTTGTACACCAAGTTTATTTGTATCCCAACTTAGACGTACATCAAGTGTATCGCAACACAGAAATAATACTTCCTCCGTCCCCAATTTGATTATAAATTGCGGGTTACGGAGTAAAATTTCCTACTTTTTGAAATCATTTTATTTACAAATTAGTATATCAATAAGTTATAAAAATTACATATTAAAAAACTACGTCAAAAGTTCTACAAAATAAGAGGTGACAAGAATATTTTATTTTATCAAATACTTGATGAAATCGCATAAACAAACAAAAGTTATCGAGAGGAGAGAGAAAAAAAATTGTAATCAAATTGGGGACGGAGGGAGTAATTATATGTGCAGTGCACAAATCGATAATTGTCATCTATATGTGTTTCTGATACGTACACTTGTTGTATAAGTTAGGATATAAATTTGGTAGCCCGCGGATAGCTCAACTGGTCAAAGGAGAGGACGTCAAGCCCATTGATCCTAGGGTCAAGTCGCGATAGCGACAATATGAGAGTTCTATTATTTGTAATAACTCCTTGTGCGTACCGGGCATGAGATAGTCACTCAAAAAATCAGATTGATATTATATATTGATTTATCCTCTCACAATCCTGTCGGACCGGGGTGTGACGTTCCACGTGATCTAAATCTGGTACGCTCTTGAGTTTTCTATTACATTATCTCTAATTTTCTTTGGAGAATGCCTTTTCCAACTTTTTGCGTTGGGAGATGCTAAGGGTACACCTTTAGGTGTACCCCATTTGTACACCACCCCCTCCATAACCACTCATTTATTTTTTATTTTTATTTACTTAATTTTTTTTAAATTTCTTGCCTATTTAAGTGGTAATGGAGGGGGTGGGGGACAAATGGGGTACACCTTTGGTGTACCCATAGCATTTTCTTTTGGGAAAAAAATCAAAGTAGGACTAAAACATTAAAGATATACCAAAATAGAACTTCCATGTTTTTATTCCCGAAATAGAACTTACATTACCAAACATGGTCATATACATTACCAAAAACGTATGGTAATGCGCACATGTACACTGTCACAGTACCACAATGCAAAGTCACATTACCACAATGCAAAGTCCTATTTCGGGAAAAAAAAACATGAAAGTCCTATTTTGGTACTTTTCTCTATGTTTTAGTCTTATTTAGGGTGATTTCTATTTTCCTTTTGCGTTTCATGGCTATAGCTAGCCCTCTTCGTTTCCTCTTCCCTAGGGAGGCGCATTGTCCATTGAAGCATATATGCTCTTCTTTCTTCTTCCTTTTCTTCTTCTTCTTCTCCCTGTTATCATCTATAATTATCCTTTTCTCATCAGAAGGAACGACATAGACATGAAGCGGCTTGGAAAGCAAAGCCGCTTCGTCCAAAAACCAACGATAGGAACCGTAATCCGTGAGCGGAATGGCCACCCAAACCACTTTTCCACCCGGAAGAGTCGTCGGGTACCTCCCGAACAAGGAGACACCGGTTCCATCGTTCTTTCCGTCTTTCATAGCAGCTTGGACTTTGGAACTGAGGTCGCGGAGACGGCGGCGGCTCCCGCGGCTCAAGAAACACATAGCCATTGGACGGTGGGAGTAATCAAGAGAGCCGCCGCCCAGGTCTCCCCACTTCACCATTTCCCCTCCCCAATACAACACCACTGCAACTTCATCACCATTATTATTATTATTGCCTGCATATATTCAAAGAAAAAAGAAACGATAGATGAAGTGAATGAAAATATTCTTTTTTTAACATTATATGTGTGTGTGTGTGTGTATGTGTAAACAGCAGCAGGTTATATTTGTTCATATATATATATATATATATATATATATATATATATATATATATATACCTGCAGCCATTTTTAGATCCTTTGCTTGTGGACTTGACGATTGTTGATTGTATGTAAGAAGTCCTAAGAACAATGAAATGAAGAGTTCCTTTAATTTGTTCTCCTTTTATATATAGTATTGAATGTGTATGTGTGTCGTTATTCCTATTTATGTCCAAATGTATGTCCTCACTTCCCAACGCAATCCTTTTTCTTATATTAATATGGGTAACTAATTAGATAGATGACATTTCAAGATATCACTTTTTCGTAAATAGAATCAGGTTTATTATTATAATGTTTGACAATGCAAAATTCTAAAATATCACACCTTAATACATTATTAAAAACAATTAGAATAGTGAGAATTATCCCAAACCGTCGTGTTATGGGGAATTACTAGCTGCTAGGTAGATCGAATAATCCCAAAACGTCCTATTATGGGAATTACGAAGTAAAATCTAATGATTTTTTAAATTATTTTATTTACAAATTGTATATCAATAAGAAATAAAAATTACATGTTGATAAATTACATCAAAAGTTTGGGAAAAAGATAAAAATACACTAAAATATTGAAAATATACCAAAACAAGACTTTCATGTTTTTATTCTCGAAATAGGAGTTAAAATGCATTTACATTACCAAAGATGATCATGTACATTATTACTCCATCATATAAGCCATGAAAAAACACAAATACATATAAATTCCCGTAAAGTTGGAATAGTGCTCTGGAAAGAAAGTTTTAGGACGGATGAAGTAAAAAGTTTAGCAATGTGCACATGTACAGTGCCTCATTACCAACACATTATTATCACAATGCGAACTCTTATTTCAAAAATAAAAACATGGGATTTCTATTTTAGTACTTTTTCTATGTTTTAATCCTATTTAGAGAGATTTCTCCAAAAGTTTTACAAAACAAGAGGTGAAAAGAATATTTTATTTTATTAAATAATCAATGAAAGTATATAAATAAAGAAAAATTACCTTTCAAAATAAAAAAAACAAAAATTATTGAGAAAAGATAAAAAAAATAAGATTGTTATCAAAATGGTAACGGATGGAATATAAATATTTAAATTTATAGTTTTATTTTTTTATGTATACACTAATCTTTTTAAACGAATTGAAACAAAATTAATTTGACGTATCTCAACTCTCAAGAGAGCAATTTTAAACGGGCATGCCACAAGCGAATTCGAATTTGAAAAAAAAAATAGTAAATTTGAATTTAACACCTACCCATCCTATCGAAACTTGGAAAGAGACGAAATATTTTCAATCTCAAGACGAATGCGATTTTAAATTTCAGCCAAAGCAGTCGGCGAACAAAGCAATCGTCTTCTTCATCAATCCTCCATACATTCAATCCTTCTTTCCCTCCGCAGTAATTATCCCTCTTTTGAATCTCCCTTATTTATTCGTTTTTCTAAAACTTGATTTCACCTAATTTATAGAATCGCCATGAATTTGGTAAAGGATTCTATCTGTTGTCTTTTCTAAGATTTGATTATTCTTAATTCAGAGGAAAACTGCATCGGAGAGGGGAAGCAATGGCAGGTATGAAACGCCTTTAATTTGATTCATATTTGGGGCTCCCCGATTAGGTCTATGCACCTTAGATCCGGTGGCGGATTAAGCCAAATAAGAACTTGTTTACTACCGAGAAAACACTTAATTTTTAATTAATCAAAACTAAAATTTGTGTGAGAAAGTGAATGTCATGTGGATCTTGTTCTAGGATAGAACTTTTCACAAACATTGGCATTCTGCCCTATCTTTGGATCTGTTGTGTAAGTAAAATAATGTCAAAATTGGAATCAAGATAGGGTTTATGTCAAGGAACCAACTCAACCAAAAGCTCAAGCTTGTGGTTGTGGCCCAGGAATGATTGTTATAAACTCTAACACGCCCCCTCACGTGCAGGCGTGACCTCTTTGAGCCTTGCACGTGAAACCTTAATTTTTTTAAACTGTGTGGCGGTGAGTTTCGAACTCGTGACCTCTTAGTCATCAACGCTCTGATACCATGTCAAGGAACCAACTCAACCAAAAGCTCAAGCTTGTGGTTGTGGCCCAGGAATGATTGTTATAAACTCTAACAGTTTACCTAAGCATCAAGTGTATATATATAGACTCAGATCCTTGTTTCTATATACTTTTTCCGTCACAAAAAGATCTTTGTATTCGAGTTCATCGTTTGTTGATTTCTCTGAATGCAGGCAAAGGCGATGAACTTGCTACGCTGTTATTTTGGGGAGGGGAAATGGCAAAGCATGGAGAGATTGGGTCTCTTGATTATTCCCAGCCTCCAATGGCTATGTGCTTCTTGAGCCGTAGCAGTTGTCACCTCCGCGACCTCATTGTGAAGGTGCAGGCTGCTATGAACAATGCCCCCATTGATGGGGTAACCTACCCTGCACGTATTGCCTTGTTTGGGAGGTACCCAATGGCAGTTCCCGGAGAAAAAAGTGTGTTCCTTTCTGTTCCACTCACTGACAACCAGTCCTATCGCTGGTTTCTGCAAGAGGCGGCTTTGCTTTCCAAGCCGCTTCTTATCTATGCCATTCCATCTCCAACAAGAATTGATGAAGCAAAAGATGAAGACAACTTGGATGTTGTCACTGTAGCGAGTTTTGTAAGGCAAGCATATGAGAAGGCGATAATGGTGCCTCGCTTGAGCAAAGCTTTAGCAGAAATCTGTTATGGGGTAGACCAGATCATGCCTACGTCTCGGTGGGGTAGTGATGGTGAGGGAATTGGAGTTAAGGGATTGCTCATGAGTTTATGCCAGAAGAATTTTGATGAAAGGGGTGTGTTTAGGACTGGAAGTGCCAAATTAATTGGGGAGTTGTACAAGAAGAGGGCGATAACCCCGGGCACAGCTCGGGGTTTCATTGGGAAGCTTCTGGAAAGTTCTAGAAGATCCCTTGGGCCGCCGGACGAGGAGGGCCTCGAAGCCCTCTGCCAGCTGATGTACACCATTGGTGGGGCCCGCGGGGCCACGGTCGTCGGAGTGGATGAGAAGCACCTTTTAGAGATTGATGAGCTGTCGAACCACCCGGATTTGTCGGGGGCATTGAGGGAAATGTTGCGTATTTTGGCGGGTATAAGGAAGAGGAAGCGACAGGGGAATGATACGGAGGGCTGCGGCAGGGGCAGGGGAATGCAGATATTCGTGAAGAGCCTGACGGGGAAGACGATCACCGCCTGGGTGGAGCCATCCCACACGGTGGAGGAGTTGAAGAAGAAGATTCAGGACAAGGAAAGAATTCCGGCGGTGGAGCAGCGGCTGATCTTCGGCCGCCACCAGCTTGAGGACGGCCGGACGCTCGGCCACTACAAGATTGAGAAGGAATCCACCGTCACCGTCGCCCTCCGACTCCGCAGCAGCATTATGAGATCTTGACATTTTAACTAGACCAATAATAAGGGATTTTGTTTAACAAAAAAAAAAAGCATTCATATTTGCGTTGTAACCTTCTCAACCCTCATGTCTATGGAATCTCAATTGGTCGAAAACATGGGGTTAGTGGTAGACTAGTGCAATCTAGAGTAGTACTCGTTTTTCTATGAAGAACAAGTGTTCATTTTGGGATAAAAGAATATTCATTTTGAAATAAAGTGATGAACATTTTGAATCAGCGTAGTAGTTACTTCGTTTGGTTAATCAACTATCACATTACCATCACTACATGTATTTGTCCAATTCCAAAAAATCTTATTAGTGGTCTTAGTTTCCACAATTGGAAAAATGCAATGTTGGATGAGTGGTATACTAGTGGGTGAGGAGGAGAATGTTGATTCATTTAATTGGGATAGATCATGGAGGAACAACCCATTAACAAGTTGGAGATTTCATTTCTTAAATCTCTTCTCAATAGATGTAAATGAACGGCTCAATCTACAGGAGTGGCTTGGGTAATCATGTATTTCAATGTAAATATTAAATAGTACGGAGTATTCAAATATTAACACAAACAAATGTAAAAAATAAAATTATACTCCAAATGAAATAAAAGCTTATTTTTATATTCCTAACTATGGAATTATAATTCTTTTCAACATAAATATTATTCTTATTTCATTTATTATTATTTGAAACAAAACTTTAATTTCATTTGGACTGCATATATTTTATGTATTTTTTTAAAATTTGTTTGCGTTTATAATTGAATAGGAGTGAGGGGAGGGTTGGATTACATGGCAAGTACGCGACCGCCCGTTCCCGGCGAGAAAGTGGTGTTTGTTTCCATTCCCCTCACCGGCGAGAAAGCGGGTACGTCGTCGTCGTCATTCCCGGAAAGTGCCACGAGGCAGAACGGAAGGACTCAGGTCTTTGTGAAAACCCTTACGGGGAAGACGATTACCCTGGCGGTGAACTTATCGGACACCGTTGCTGAGTTGAAGGAACAGATTGAGGACATACTTGGAGGGTACCCAGCTGGCCGGTTGCCAAGCAGCAGCGGCTGGTCTTCGGTGGCAGGCTGCTCGAGGACTACGGCGTCCAGAGGGAGTCCACTATCCGACTTGTCCTCCATCTTTGCGGCTGTTGATCTGAGTTGACTTCACGTACTCTCTCTGCACGCCATGGAATACGTACAATAACAAACGGGCTCCAAAATGTTCCGTTTTAATTTTAGATCATATTTACTCTCCCTGTTATCAAATATTACCTCCGTAGTCCTTTTTTAAGGGATACTTTTTCACAAATGATCCTTTTTTTGATCTTCTGCCGTGTTAGTGTTAATTTAAAGGCCAAAAGTATAATTTGATTTGACCTCAACACTATGTCTAGTGACGTGTTCTGATATTGGTTAAGCGGATAACACAAAAATTATGACTATGATTGTGGGCTTACGATTCTGACGAAAAATCACATTTGTAGACTATAGTTGTCGTAAAAAGTGACTGTAATTCACAAACGACGCAAACGGAACAGCCTTTAGAATTGTGTATGACAAAAAAGATATATATTATCATTGTGAAATTACACTTTTAGCCCTCAAATTAATACCAACATGATAGAAGATCAAAAAAGGATTATTTATGGAAAGATACCCATAAAAGAAGTGTTGTGGTATATATTTGATGATTTGAATTGGGGAGAAATTGAAAAAAATGAATAAATTTAAAATATTACTCCGTATGTTGGAAAGAAGAGTGTTTGAATTTAATTGACACCTCTCCTCGCCGACTTGGAGACTTCTTCGTTTGTGACTGGAAATTGTTTTGATATTTTGGAATTGTATCACAGAGTTATTCCTTTTCAGGACGTCTCCCTGTAAACGTTGGGGTGCCGGGACACAAAGGATTATATATACTCCTTAGGATCGCCAAATCACACGTCTTCTTCTTCATCGTCTTCTTCTTCATCAGTCGTCCATCCATTCAAGCTTTCTTTTCCTCCCTAGTAATTTATTCTTCCTTTTTAATTTCTTATTCTCTTTACTCGATTATGCCTAATCTTTCTGTCCTGTACGTATTCACCTAATAATCCCTTCTTCCCCAAATTCTTATGACGATTGACTAGACAGAAAATTTGATGTTAGACTTTTCCCTAAACCCCTTCTTACTTCCGGCTCGAGCCAGGGTTTGTTCCAGAACCTGTTGAATTTTCGAATTGGAATAATCCCCAAGTTTCCAATATTGATTGAAAAATTCAAATCCCCAAGTTAATTTTTTTTTTGTATTGTTTGAGATTGCCTTTTGTGATTTATGCTGTTTTCATCCTAAGACTGTGTTAGGTTTGATGGGTAATGGTGGAATGGAAAAAAGGAGCTATTTAGACTGTGCGAGTAATTAAGAAATCTGTCGTTCTTGGTAGGAATATGTGCAATTCTTAAGTTAATTAAACAAGCATTAATCCTTAAACACTCCCGAATATCTTAAACAAACGGTACGGAGTATTTGAATGTTTGCGATGATCCAACTGAGTTGTTATTGTTGTTGTTTGAGTGTTCTGCTTCTCATTTGAAGATTCACATTTAACAATGATGTGATTTTGACCCCTAATTTGAGTTATTTCTATCTGATCCTTGTATTCATACAGGGGAATTCCACAAAGCTAAACAATGGCAGGTATGAAACATGTTTACTCATATATACTCCCTCCGTCATTAAATGATCATCTCTGTGTTTTTGAGGGAACGAGTAGTATGTGAAATTTGCACTGAATAGGACTAAAACATAAGTCATTTCCCAATGTAGGACTTAAACTTTTTTATTCCGTAAATACGACTTAATAATGACTAGTGAGAAGAATAATGTCCAAGTGATGATGGACATTTAGTTGAATAATGACTATTTTATAATGACCAAAGGTCCTACATTGGAAAATAAAAACATATGGTCCTATATTGGGAAAGTCATTATGTTTTAGTCCTATTTAGGTAAATTTCTCAACCAGAATTTGGTTGGAACTTATGGAGCTATAGATTGAAGTTCTTTCAATTCCTGATGCAGGCAATGGGGATCAAGTCGCCGCTCTGTTATTCTGGGGAGGCGACATCGTTAAGCGCGGATACATGGGGTCCGTGGACTACTCCGAGCAATCAAAAACCATGTGCTTCTTGAGCCGTCGGAGCGGGCACAAGGGGGTGGTGGAGGGAGTGCTTGCCGCGATGAACTCCAAGGGCGTCAAGGCCACAACTCTCAATGCCCTTTTCGGCAAGTACCCGAAAACCGTCCCGGGAGGGAAAGTGGTGTGTGATGCCGTTCCCCTCACGGACGACCGGTCATGGAATTGGTTCTTGCAGGGGGCGTTGGCTTCTTGTAACCAGGGTGGCCTTGTCCACTTGTATGCCGTTGCCGGAGAGGGAATGGCAGGGATGAAGATCATCCTGAACATATGCGTGGGGGGGGGGGAGTCGAAGA